AAGTGTCCCTAAAACCCCAGAAATAAGGATGATACAAGGTCTGGAGTTACCTAGAAGTGGTAGCTCTTTGTTTCTTTTTAAGAACAGGTCATCTCCCTAGTGACTGTCACTGTTTTACCTTTTAATTTCATCTTGTCCTTTCATTCACCCACACACTCTCTAGGAGTATACTGTGCACGTGAGGGGCACCATGGGAAACACCCTAATGAACAAGAAACATCCTTAAGACATACTTGCTCCCGCCCGTGAGAACAAAGTCACCGCAGCGAGACTTTGGAGAAAAGGCCCTTCTCCCGGGTGGAGAGAATCAGGGAAGACTTCCTGTAGGAGCCAGGGTTCGATCTGGACCTTGAAGAATAGATGTTGGATTTGAATATGTGGAAATGTGGAGAGAGAGAGGAAGAATACGGGAAAAGCCCAAGAATCCCAGTGTGTCCGCAGACAGGGACGAGCCCAGACCACCACTCTCTGCCTCTGTGCACCCGCGCAAAGCCTCCGTCCAAGGCCAAGTGCGTCAGGTGAGTGCTCTCTCCGCCAGAACAGCTAGAAGACGTCTTAGTGCTTTTACACGAACGACTACACTAACATGTCTCTGCTCGAAACAATGCCTGCGCCCATCACACGCCTGGCGGTAAATCAGCCTGTGAACACAGGAAAGGCGAGGAGGACCCTGGAGGAGCATTTCTGTCAGCTCAGAAGGTGAGGGATAGTAGCTGCGCTGTGTAACATGCCGCCCTTGTGTTGGCCACACTACACTCCCACTCTCTGATCGCCCGATGAAAATGCTGGAGAGTAAGTCACGGTGGTCATCACCGTTTTGCAGATGAAGAAGCTGAGGCTCAGAGTGGTTCCATGATGGTTCAAGGTCAGAACAGTTTGAGGAAGAGGAGGCAGGCCTAGAATTGTGATGGAGGCCTGACATCCAAACCCACATTATTCTCATTTTCTGGTGTGTGCACTGGACAAGAAAGGCTCCTGTTCTAGACTCTCCTGTGTCCCCGGATCTCAGGCCCTTCTGTCTGTGGCTGTCTTTATTCTGCTCATTAGAGCTCCCCTCACTCTAACCCCTTGATACCCCTGATCTGGCCGCCCAGTACTTTCAGCTCTGACCATGTGGCAAATCATGAGGACCACAAAGGCAGGACTGCCCCAACGGCCTCTGTGCTAGCCAGGAATAGCCACTACTTCTCGTCCCTAGCAAGGTGCTGATGGCCATGCTCAGAACTGAAGCTCTCCAGGCAGCCAGACTGGCATCTGAATCCTGGGTGTCCCGCAGCCTGGCCAAGGGCTCTCCTAGCACATGGTCCAGGCAGGACTCCATTCCTTCCCTGAAGAATAGGGATTGGTGAAAAGGATGAGTATGACTTGGGGGTATGTGGTCCTGGGTTCAAACCCTAGCCCTGTCACATCCTGGCTGTGGAATGTACTAATATACAGGTCCTCAAACCTCAGTCTTAATGTCTAAATATACTCGACACAATAGCACGTATCTTGAAGGGCTTGTAAGCATTAGAGGGGCCTGGCACATGGTAGCTGCCAACTGGGAATTCTTTTCGACTTCCGCCCCTTTCTAGGCTGGTTCAGGTGTGCTGCATTCACCTTTGTGTCTGCAACAGCAAACTCAAGCTGCAGCTCATAGTAGAGCTCAATGAAACAGGACAAATCTTGAACTTCATCCTGTCTGTATCTCCAAAGTCTAAGGCAAACTAGGGCCCTCAGCATAAATCTGGCCCACTGTCTGATTTTTTAAAATAAACTTTTTGGGAATAAATCCATGCTCATTCATTTAATTGTTTATGGCCGCTTTCATGTTATGATGTCAGCATTGAGTAGATGCAATGGAGACAGTCTGAGTCTGCAAAGCCAAAAATATTTACTTGCAGAAAAAGTTTGGGGACCCCTGCTATTGTGTATGGGAACTTTCAATGGAGTGGGGGAACCTGTGAGGGTCTTTGATGAAGAAGACATCCCCCAGCTTCTTCCTCACCCACACGTTATATCCTCTTTTCCTGGTTTTTCTATTTTTCTCTTTAGCTGTCCGGACCATCACATAACTTCTCTATCACTCATTTCCTTTCATATGTTGTTTATTTTCTATCAACTCCACTATAAAGCTCCACATAGGCAGGGATTTTTGTTTGTTTTGCTCTTATATCCTGAAACTTTGACGAGTTCCTGGCACACAAGTGGGCACTCCACAAATATTTGTTGAATGAATAAACATGGATTTTATGGAAAAAAGTTGTTCAACCAAAGTGTGTTGGAGGCTTTCTCTTTCATGGACTAATTTTGAACTTTTAAAGGAACCTAGTAACTCCTCCCCCTCTCCCCTCTACACACACAACCCCTGAGAGAAGAGTATTATTTTTCTTATCTTAGAGATGAGACAACTGAAACTCTGGTTAAGTCAGTGCTTCTCAAACTTGAACATGTACATGAGTCACCAGGGATCTTGCTACCATGCAGGTTCTGACCCAGGAGGTCCAAGCAGGGACCAAGGTACTCCCAGGAGGTGCTCCCTGTCCCTAAACACTCTACCTCCAGTCCTCCCCTTCTGTAGCCACCCCACCTCCAGCATCTTCTGCATGGGCCCCTCGACTTTACCTACACACGTGCCCAGGACTTTCTGATCCTTCAAGTGGCAAATCTTACATTTCTCCACTATTTCAGGGCCTTTGGTTAAAAATAATTTCTTCTTTTCGTGGGCCCCAGACAGGCTGGCTTCCTTTCTCAACTCTTCCCCATGACCTGTACGGGTGACTACTGATGGCCAAATGTCAGGGCTATGCCCACTCCCTCCACTTCCATCTGTCTGCAGCAACTCTGCTATTGTCAGCCTCTCCTCCTGCAATGGCCTTCTCTTTGTGGTCCTTATAGCTCTCTTTCTGCTTCTATGTCAGCTTTTCCAGGTATTCTCTTCCTCCGAACATTTCACCATGGGCTGGCATGAGTTTCACATTCTACGATCTGTGACTCAGAACTCCAAGTCTGCACCAATTGAAGGGCTTTTGGTTATCCCTGTACCTTGAACTACAAGTGCCTGCATATTTATCTCCTACACTCCCAAACTGTTCATGTTTGATTTCATCAGGGTGTCCAGCATAATCAATGCATGATAGAAAGTGGGCATCCAAAGACAGTGCCATGTATACTGGCTAAGAGACTGAAAGGGTGAGGTGCCCAGAGGTTGTGATGGGTCATTACATGCCCACAGATACTGTGGAACATCTATGCCATAAGAACCCCTGGAAGATCAAGGAGATCTCAGGGGCCACCATGATATGTGCCCTGACCCCTTACAGTTTCTGAAAGGGGAAAGTAAGTAGCATTTCATGAGTGGCAACTTTGTGATAAGCACTTTACAAAATCATCTCATTTCTTCTTCAAGGTAACTCTATGAGCTAGGCACACTGATCCTACTTTAGAGCTAAGAGGAAGGAATCTCAAAGAGTTCAGAACATTTTCTCAAGGCTGCTTAACTGATGAGCTAATGTCCTAGTCATCTCTCCTACCACAGAGATGGGACTTGAACCCAGGGCTGCATAATTCCAAAAGCTCATAATTCCAGTATTGTGTCCTACCCCTATCCCTTTGAAGATGCAGTTCCCTTTGTTCAGAATTCTTATTTCTTCAATATTGGGTAAACCTGTCTCTAAAAACACTGATAACTATCCCTGCCCCATTAACAGTGAGTCACCCAACCAAGTGCGCTTACACCAGCGTGCATACAGACACCTCTCAGTTGACGTGTCAAGTACTTGGTGTTATGCTGGTCTCTCAGGTAGGCTTGAGCACTGTTAGGGTGAGGCTCCAAGTCCTGGTCATCTCTCCAACCACAGTGTCTGGAATATAATGTGCATGTTCAATGTCTATTTGACAAGTGAATGAATGAGCAAAGGAAGCAAGTTCATTGGTACTCCTAGTGTTGCTGGTGGGGCTCTGTTGATTTCTAGATAACACGAGGGTAGTAGTACCAGACTCTTATCTGCTCATTGCCTGGATCTCGTGACCTGTGGCCCTAAGAACTGAGCAGGGTGGATGGAAGGGGCTTTTAGCTCCGTCTTCATCTGTGAAGGCTTCGGCAGATGATCACTGACAGTCATGGCCCCTCTCACAAGGCTGGGTTTCCCGGGGTGGAGGACAACATGGAATGATGGGCAATATACTTTACCAGGAGCCAGGCATTCTGAATTGAATCCCATAGTTTTGATAACTGAATGTGTGATTTCATATACCTCTCTGGACCTTGATTTTAAGGTATGGAAAATGTGTAATAGGAATATGAGACTAATTCAGTGGTTTTCTAATTTTACATTACCAAGACCCTATTTATGAAATATTTCTCCTTTATCCTCATGCTTTGTAAAGGTCTGGTTTAATATTGAGAAAAATCATCATCATTACTTAGAAAGTGTGATAATAAATGAACCGGCAATCAGCCAACAAAACGCAGTGACAGCATGAGATAACTCAGGCTAAAACCCAGCTGAGATACTTCCAGTCCAAAGCAAAGACCTGGATGTCACCTGTGAAGCTGCTTTTAGATAAAGTCATGATTCCCTGTAGACTTCCTGAAAGAGTGGAAACAGCTGAGGAATTTCTTCCTAACCTTTAAGCCCCCAGCGCTACACAAATGGACTCCAAAGTTGCTGAGACTGTGATTCTGTCTTATGTGCTCAAGTCTTGCAGGAGGATTAGGTTGACCTCTTGCTGGAATTTGAGAATTTCTACCTAGAAAATTACACTGACAACAGAGAAACAGCCCTGCACATCTCCAAAGATAGGGGGTGAAAAATCCAAGATGGCAGAAACATAACGGACACGAACAATGACTGTGTTTTCAAATGGCAAACATCTACACAAAATAAAAACTGGGGCTACAGACGGCTTAGACAGAAGTGAGTATGAGAAACCCACAGACACTTGGTTGGTGCAGGGAATGCATGCTACAGGTTCCCTTACAGGGCACAAAGCAAAGTTAACCCAGGGTCGATACTTACAAGTAATAGGAGTAGGAATAAGCATTTCTTCTATATATTGATGGGCAGTCAGATGAAGGAAATGTCCAAAAAGGGGGAAAAAGAAAAGACAAATAAACAAGAATTAGATTTATATAAAACCTCGATTCTTAGAAATGCACATAGTATTTCAGCATCCCTACGCTCAAGGAGATGCACGTTTCTCTACTAGTCATCTTTGCTGAGAATCAGACACTTTCGGTGCTAGAAAAAAAATGAGAGAGCCCTCTTCTATGATGGAGAAACGCACTACTCATACGGAGGAAGCCACATCTCACGCTGGCTGTGTCAGCTGCTTGAACGTTCTTTGTTACGGTCACCTGAAACTAGCACTGGTGATGATGACATTTTAGTCTTGGGTCAGATTTCTCTGGCCTGGAACTAGTCTATCACGCTTTCACATGACAGTGCTGCTATGGTCAAAGGAAAACCATAATGACTTCTATCTTTTCTGTTTCAGGTCAAATCACATCAGTCTCTATTTAGCAAGTTCATGCCAGAAGCAAGGAAATCGTGTAGCCAGCATCCAAGATGGCTTCCCAGTGATCCACAGGTCCCAGTGCTCACACCTATGTGTACTGTCTTGCCCCACACTGAATCAGAGCAGGCCCTATCTAACCAATAGAATGTAATAGATGTTATGCTTTGGGACTTTCTAGAATAGGTCAAGAAGAAGCCTTGCAACCGGGTCTTTGCAACTCTCATTTGAACCCTAAGTCTCCGTGTCAAAAGTCCAAGTATTCTGAGGTTGACATGCTGGGGAGAGCATGCAAAGAGAGCATGTGAGAAGCCCCAGGAGGGCATAAAGAGCTCCAGCCAGACCAGCAGTTCATAACCAGAGCAAAATTCAAACTTCATGAAAGAGCACTGCTCCAACAGAGAGGAATTCCAGTCTTTAGTCTGAAGAGACTACAATGGGAATAAACGCTCTGTGCCTTCATTTCTTAATCTGATTCTTAGACTAGTTGAACTAGGTCAATGACATGGGTAAATACCAATTTACATGCTTCGAGGGGTGGAAACATATGATGCCTTAGCATCCCAGTACTACCACTTGCTAACTGATGGCCTCAAGCAAATCACTAAATATCTCAGTTTCTCCAACTCAAGGTTGATGGTAATAATTATCTATTGGCAAAAGTCACTGTGGGCATTAACATTAAATTATATAAATTTAAATTACATTCAAATTATATACGATATATAAAGTATTATAAGAAAATTATATGAATCTAAAGCAATAGATTATATTAATCTAAACACCTGAAATAGAGTAGGCCTCAATAAAGAGGAATTTATGACCCTACCTCATTCACAAATATAAGGTTTGCCGCTTCTCACTCTGGTGGCCAAGAACAAAGTGTTCACCTCTTTAGGGATATTAAAATAGTAATAAAATACAAACAAATACTTAAGTAGCACTATTGTAAAGTCAGGCATTGTTCTCGGCTGTTATCAGGCATTAAATTATGTATTCCTCACAACCACCCTGGCAGATAAGTATTACTATCACCCCCTACATTACAGATGAGGAAACTGAGGCAAAAGGGGTTAAATATCTTGCCTAAGATCACTCAGTTGGTAACCAGATTTGATTGAGACATGGCTCTAAAGCTCATGTTCTTGATCACTAAACGGCTTTTTTTTTGAGAAAGGAAGAAAACAGATGTGTGAGTCAGGCACTGAGAGGCCACATATTTATCTCTTTTAACCCGACCCACATCCCCAATAATAGAGCATTATTTTCATTTTTATTTGAGGAATCTCAGGCTCTACGAGGTCACTCTTCACTAGGTCTAAGGTTTTGTGTATTTTGGGGCCAGTTGCAAGACCTCCATCCTGAGCCAGGATTTCATCACTGTCAGCAGCCCCAGGCTGCACTCAACATTATGGACCCTCTGGCTTTTATTCTGCTAACCTTCAGGACTCACCTCTGCCTGGACTACCTCCTCATGACAACATGCTTCCTTAGCCTTCAACCTCAACTTCCAAACAGCTTTTCTGAGTTATCCTTCTTGTTACCAAAAGCCAGTGCTATCAAGGCAACTCCAGAATGACTACAACTGACAATCTTTTATTAATTGAGTACCTTTTCCCAATTAAATGGCAAAGTGATCCAGGCAGGAATTATAGTTCTTTATTCTGTGACCAAAACACAGTATATATGTGTGCTTTCTGTAAGGCTTAAAGAAGATTTACTGAAGGTCTAAATTTACAAGGATACTGTGATATTGCAAGTAACAGATTGCCTAAGACCAAAAATCCTGCGCAGGAAGACAGCTGTGCTTAGAAAAAAAAACCAAAACCCAAACTTAATAAATAATGTACTGCAAAATCTTATTTTCAGCTGGCTTGTAAGACTGACTTGAGACACAGCTTCCCTTTTTGTTCCACGCTATGTAAACAGGACTAAATTGTCTATTTAACCATCTAGTTGACCACCTACCAATCCATCTAGCACATACTGGTAAACCAATCCATCCCTCTCTCCATCCAACCATCCATTTAGCTACCCACTAAACTATCTATCCAGTTAGCCCATAAACACACACACACTCATCTAAATGGAGATACTCCCCCTGTGTATCTCCATGCAGCCCCAACTCTATAGGGCCCTGCTTTTAAAAAAAAATACAAGTCCAAAGAGCCAAAGGTATACAAAAAGAATTCTAAACTTTAACTTGCATCTTTTACAAACTGTAAGGGAACCCTGTTTGAATCACCCACCATCTCAGAATCCTTTCTGCAACCTTTCATTTTTCAAGGTCCCCTCTACCTATTACAAAACAACCAAGCAACGACAGCAAAACATCCCCTCTCTCTTTTCTCTTCTCTCTTTTTTCCCCTTACATTTTGAATGTAATTGATTTAGCTTCTTCAATTACTAGTAGTAAGTCCTTCCCCTGGTCCCCTGTACCTGTAACCCCATTCTCTGTCTGATGTCTAGTTCAATATCACAAAAGAAAACAACTAACAGCAAGAGAAAAACTCTCTTTGGAGAGTGACAAAGAAGCCCGAAGGCCAAAGAGGATGAGCACTTCAGGGGAAGAATCTAGGGACATCTTATGTATCCTGGAAATATTTGGCCACAACTTTGGTGAAGACTTTGAACCAGTTGGAACCACGAGGAGCAGGGAAAACGGAGCACCATGCCCACGTCCATGAAGGTTAGGGAGAAGACCTCGATCGAGCCAGGGAAGGGGATGCAGCAGGTGTGGGACTTCTGGACCCAGGAACTAACTGTGGATCATGATGGGACTGAAGAGATGCTGATACAGGATCCTGAGTGGTGATGATCTGCCTATCACTTAGGGGTTTCTTTTCCTTTAATAACACTTTCCCTTTAGGTTGCTGAGGACAGTGTTCTCGCCAGCAGTAAGTTAGCGACAGACTCAATCGGCAATGAAGTTTTCCCCATAATAAGGAGCCCACGAAACCCTTTACTGGCCTTTGGGAATTTCTAGACATGAGAAAACATTGCAGGTCAGTGGAAAGAGTGTAGGTCTAGGCTTAATTTCTCCTTTTCTCCCTCTTTACCTTCCTCCTCTTTTCTTCTCTCTTCCCCTTTGCCCATCCGTACATGATTATCAACTAGTTCAGCAAAACAAATTTTCTCCAAAAGACACTGCATATGTAAACACTGATTGGCAAACTCCCAACCTCCGCCCACGGCCACAACACCTGAGATTTGCCTCTTGGGGAGAAATGGTGATCATGTGACAGCTGCTGGCTGGGTGTGATGGATGATTTTCATAGTGGGAGATGAAGATACGCAGAAGAGGTTAAAAACACACAAAGGGACTCCCTTTATACTTGTTCTCACCCAGGAAACAGAAAGCTCTTTCCTCCCTCCCCAAAAGTCACACGTTTCAGAAATAGCTGTTGGGAAGGAAGTGAAATTTCTTCACAAGCTCGCAGACGATGGTGACGTGGGGGTAAGCCAGGCTTTAGAAAGAGCAAAATTGGAGGAGCATATCTGACTTACAAATCAGTGACAAAGAATGAGAACACTGTAGGTCTATCAAATAGAAATGCAATTTTATTAAACTGGCTACTTTTCCCAGGTAGACAATGCCAGTCTCCAATGTGCCTGCGATTCTAAGAAACATGATGATGATTTTGTAAATGCAATGCTCTTACCCCCCTCCTTCCTCCCATCCCAATCAAACCTAGCAGCTGACTTATCACCAAGACATTCAATATGGCCACATTTTAAGGATGATGGTAATAATATGACAACGCAGTGCTGTCCTTAACCCTCTGGGGGATTTTGCTCCCCAATATTAACATAGTGCCTTCCCTTCCCCTAATCTCTCCAACCACAAAATCAGCAGCTGGATGAGAACCTTAACTCTTCAGTCATTCACTTGGGAGCCTGAGGAAGAGAGCAGTCCTGTTAGACAAACCTTGTCAAAAAAGGACAAGGTCCTACCAATAAGATGTTCTGGCACAGCACGCACTGATTGATTGAGAACAGAACCTACTGAGACACAGGGACATTCTGGTGCCACAATGACTAAGAGAAGGCTGACTGTGTGTATAGTGGGAACCATGATATTTCTGACTCACTGATGGCTGAAAATGGGAAATTATTATTATTTTTGTTTCATTTTCTTCATTTATATATTCACATGATCCCTTAAGTAGAAGCTGAATCACCTTGTCTTTGGGGCAATCTGTCCCTTTGTTTTTGTGGGGAATGAATTTCAGGAGCACTTTTTATTCTACAGATGGAAGCAAGGCCCTGGTCCTTATTACTGGGCTTGCCCTGAACTCTGTGAGTAACCAAATCCAGAGCTTCAGGCTGAGGTGTTAAGCAGTTTGTTTAATAATGTAAGAGTCTCTTTAACTTGGGGGCAGGGAAACTTGCAGGACATATTCTTATAATACAGGTACATGTTTGGTTTGCTCTGGCAGATCCAGGGAGCGGAAAGGTGGAGGCCAAAGTTGGGACCATGGTATTGAAGCTCAGAAGACATGAAGATGCATGATAGGCATGGAAACCTGGTACCAGGCAGGGGCTAAGCAGAGGTGGGCAGGAGGACCCTCTGTTTAGAAGGATAACCAGTACACTATAGGCACAGTCACAGCTAATGTTGACCAGCTTTCCTGGTGGATATTTCCCTTCCCTCTCTGCAATTCTGCTCATTATCCTCCCCTTGCGAGTGCCCGATAAACAAGATGGCAATGCAGGAATCTTGGGGATGAGGGAGGGATCGGTACCCTGGCTTTCATAAACAATACAGTCTAGAGAAAACACACACCATAGGAGAACACTGTGTTAGTTGACGTGCGCAGGGAGCCATCCTGTTGAGAGGTGACAAGCAGCACCAATCCAGCTGGGCAGGTTTTGTGGGACACAGAGGAAGGAAGGAACTGTCCCTTGAGACTATCCCACTACTGAAAGCTTTATCCCAGTCATGCCGAGCAGGGGTACCGGGAATGCTGCTGCTTGACCAAAGGGAAATCAGGGGTAAAAGAGGATGAGAAGAGCGAAGCATTGCTTTTCTGCATCTGCATTTCTGGGCTCATCTGTGTTCCTGGGGCTCCTCAGTTATTTTGATGACATGATCAATCACAGCAGAGCAGTGAAATTAGAGAAGACCTGTTTCATGATATAAAGAATCCCACAGCACATCAAGGTGGCCGAACCACTATCCCATAAGAAAATGACCATCTCAGGGCCACACACAACGCAGGTAGCACATGCCCTCAGTCACCAACAAGATGAACCACAACTGGCCCAGGTATTTCAGGACCTCAGCAACCATAGCCATAGGTCCTTGCTGGAAAGTGATTAACAGAGCAATGACCTGCCCATGTGGCAGTGTTGTGGCCACCTGCAGTCGCCATAGTCGGCAGGACAGCAACCCAGACTCACCTTCTTTTGATGGTGAGCATCACGCCCAAGAGAATGATGATGAACATGAGAAGACCAGCAATCACTCCAGCCATCTTCACGGTGTTGTCCACCTGCTTCTCTGGCTCCACAGTGTTAGAATTCTGGGTGGAGGCACCTTGCAGGGAAAAAGGGGAGGATAAAGATGTTGAAAAGGCTCATACATGTAGCTAGACAATAATGGCAATGACAATGGCTTACATTTATTGAGAGCTAACTGTGTGCCAGGCACTGTGCTAAGGGTGTTACACATATAGCACCATTCAATCCTTCTGAGGATGAATCCCTTATGAGGTTGGGATTATTACCATATCCTTTCTTTTTCTTTTTTTTGCAGATGTAAAAAGGGACATTCAGAGAAATTGAGTCCCCTAGGGTTACCCAACCTTATCATCCTCTTTATTTTCCTTATCCTCAGTTGGAGGATTTTATCCCTCATACTGCTTATCTCTAGGATCAAGACATGGAATTACAGTTTGATTCTTGGGTTCATGAAATTATTCCAAACCCTACTTCATCCTTTCATGTAAGTGGTGAAAACAACAGCTTTATGTTAAGGTAACACAATAAAACTCACTGTATTTACAAAGATAAAAGCACAGTTTTGTGTTGTGCCTTACATGGAGCAAATGGTGAAGTAGAAATCTAGTTTTTTAAAAGGAAATTTCCTTGGATTTGAATGCTTGTATGTGACTAAGTCCATGTTTTGAATGTAGTGCTCATGCTGCAGGCTCTGCCAGACTCGAACTCAGTTCCAGATAGAAGTCCTCTGCCCTGGGCTGGGCCCTTTCATGGATCCACCTTTGTCAGTCCTCACAAACACTCCAACAAGCAGAAATGATTTTCCCATTTTGTAGATGAGAAAACCAAGGGAACTTGCTGAAGGTCACATGGCTGATAAAGGTCAGGGCCAGGATTCCTCAGGTTTCTGATTCGAATCTAGGCCTCAAGAGTCAGAAACTCTGTATTCCACTTTCAAGTCCCCTGCCCCCATACAATGGTTTTGCTAATAGCAAAAGCAAGCAGGCAGAGAATGCCTCAGCTCGACCTCTTCATGCAACATACCAGGGAACAGAGGCTACTTCCCCCTCGAGACACCTGTGTGAACACTGCTGGAGAGCACTGCTGGCCTGGCACCCCTAGGCACCCCTCCTGCTGCTCTTCAGCTTCCCAATGGTGCCAGGGAGGCCCCTAAATCCAAAGCATCCTCTTCCTCACTCATGCCTATTTTTCTGCTATCTCAGCACCAGCTCATCCATCATCAGCGACATCTTCTCTGGTTGCCTGTGCCCCTGGGAGGGTTCCTGTCTTTCCTCTCATTTCTGATAACTCTCTGTAACACTTTGCGCATACCTTAATGTCCCAATATTATTAGTTATTTGTTTCCCTATTTGTCTCCTCCAGTGGTCTGCAAGCTCCTCAGGGGCGAGGTTATGCCTCCTCTATCTTTGCTTCCTCATGTTAGCCCAGAGCCTGGCTCCTAATAGGTGTTCCCGTAATGTTTGCATTGTTCAATGTTTAGCTGAAGGGATGACATCGCTGCCCGCACACATTTGTTCTCATGAAAACAAATTGAGTTTCTCCTTTTCCAGCCACGTGTTCAGAGAACTCAGCTGAGTTGAAGGGACATTAATGCCCGTAAGCTGTGATTCTGACTCCCCAGACTCCCTGATGGTTAAGAACATCCCTCCAGCACACGGCTGCATCCCCTCTTCCTGCTTAAGAGTGTCCAGTGTTTACTTTATTAGAGCACCTTCCCCAGACTCTCTTGTAACTTAGACAAGCTGGGTTTACTCAGCCAACCCTCCCTAGTGAGAAGGCAAGTCTTCCAGAACAGGGAGTGCGTCCTAGTCACCTCTCTAACACCAGTGTCTAGTCCAGGCCTCCTTCTTTATAACTGTTGGTTAACAGATGATTATTGAATGTCATATAGGCAAGTGAACCAACAGTTATTTGCTTCATTCATTAATTTGCTACTGAGTACCCATGAAGTGTGCCAAACTGGGCTGTGTGCCAAAATGCTATCAGTGGGGTCAGAGTTCCTCCTTTTGGAAGGAGTTATGCAGGAGGGATTTTCTTTTTCAGTTCCCCTCACCAGCTAAAGATAAAACTAGAGTATCAAATCCCAACACCATCTGCAGAGGCTTTACTTATCTAGAGCCAGAGAATTCCTGGGGGAGCCAGCTCACTGCCTCTTTGGCAGGGCTGGGCTCACATTCCAGAGTTGGGGCTGGTTCCCAGTAGCCCCCATGCAGCTCCCCTTTCCCAGTTTGGAAACAAGAATTCTGAGCTATGTCTAGTCCCAGAGATACATGACGTGACTAAGCACACAGGAGGCTGAGCACCTCAGTGCAGTTTCCTTAATAGCGTCAGAGTCTTTGTATTTGGATTTGAAGGGATGGTCAGCTCTGGAGCATCCGCTCACAGGAGTAGCTGAACTTGACTTAGTGCCTGCTATGAGATCCTGTTCTAGAGACTGGGGTACAAAGGCAAAGGAGACCTGCAGAAGGTCCCAATTCCTCAGGAACAGTTATTAGCTTGGTCTATGAGAGTCACACTTCATTCCTTCCAGACATAATCACAAGCATCCTCCATGTGCCAGGCATTTGGTTATACACAGTGAGAAAACAGGCACAGCTCCTGCCTTCAAAGAGCCTACAGTGAGTGTTGGATGGGGCTTAGGGGATAGGCTTAATGAACCAAGAACCAATAATAGTAAGCTTTCAACTCTATTAAGGATCAGAACTGAGAGGCACGTGACACTTGGGAAGTGTATAACGGGGAAATGAATAAGTGAATCTCTTCTGGGAGGAAGTGGCCAGTGGGGTGAGCTCCAAGGGAGGACAGGCTCTAACTAGTGGGAGAGAAAGTGAGAGGGTCACATGGGAACAGAAGAAAAAACAGCCTTGGCCCAGGCTGTGTGATGGGGCAAGGAGCCCAGAGCATTCAAGAAATGAAAGAGACGTAGTGTGATAAGGGTGAGAGAGAAGCTGGAGAGGACAGCACAGGTCAGTCCACACTGGACACAATAGGCCGCAATGAGCGTTTCTGTCCTTAACCCCAAGAAAAATAGAAATCCATCTGAGTGTTATTCATGGGGCAATGATGCAGTCAGATTTGTATTTCCAACACATCATTCCAGCTTCACTGTGGAGCCAAAGTGGATGGGAGAGATAAATTTTGCAGGCAAATGGGTGGGGGATGATAGTTGCCAGACTCAGATAATGGCAGTGCAGACAGAAAGATGCAATAAGAGAGGTAATTACCTGAATTAGATATAAATAAAACCTCTTGATGGATTGGATAGGGGAATAAGGGAGAGGGAACTGACGAGGAGGATCACAAGTCTTGGGCTTTCATAACAATGTGGATGATGGTGCTTGCTGTTCATGGATTCAGGAAACAATAGAAAAAGAATAGCTTTAGAGGGAAAATGTGTGTGTTTGGGGAAATCTGAGCTTGAGAGATACTCTAGAAAAGTAGGATCTCTAAAAGGAGGTCTGAGCTGGAGGTAAAAATGTGTGATTCGTATGCACCTAGATGGTACTTGAAGCTGGGAGTTGATGAAGTCACCCAGGGGGAGAATAAAGAGTGAAAGGAGATGCAGACTTAGATAGAGACTGGAAGGTCTGTGGTATTTAGTGAGTGGGTCGAGGAAGATGAGCCTGCATAGGAGAAAGAGAAGAACTGGCCAGACAGGTAAGAAAAAGAACCAGGAGAGTATTGTGTCCTAGCACCAATAGAAGAAGGTGTTTCAAGAAGGAAGAAGAAATCAACAGTGCCAAGCACTGCTCCTAAGATAGAATCAAGCTCTATACCCAGGTGAAAGTGAGACTTTGGATGAGTACTTGAAAACCTTTCTCAAATAAGTTCTAAGATGTTTCTAAACAGAAGCACCTTCAGCAGTGCTCATGAACTAGCAATGGGACATACTTGGGGGTCACAGAGAATCTGTGACATTCAGAGAGGCCACCTCAACGGCCACAGCCCAGTGATTTAGACAGATTTAATAAATTCAGCCTAGAGTCATCAAACTGACATGCCAAACTCTACACAGCCAAGTTACTATGAGAAGCCATGCTTGGCTGGTCCACCTAGGCTCCAGATACAGGGACATGACCATCCCCTGGGACATGGCAAGTCTAACTCCCACTTCAGCATCCTTTTAAGGGCCTTTGCTCTGGCTGCTGGGGATCTGTGCCTATGTTCATAAAGGAAGTGCTGACAGTGTTCAAAAGGGATACAGTATAGAGGAAAGGGCTCTGGGATCAAAGGCCAGGCAGGATGCACACATGGCTGCTACATCTGAGAGGAAAACGAGAGGGATAGAGACAGAGGATAAGCCAGCCTTGGTCTTGTTGCAGTCAGGAATGTGTCCATGGGGCTCACATCTTAAGTGCTCCCAGAGCAGATGAGAACCTGTGAGAGGACTTAGGAAGCACATGAGGCTGGCTAATGATGGGGGCTCCTGGCATTGTGATCAGCTGTCTCAGGCAGGCGCAGAGCTCCTTATCAAATAGAAGCTGATATCACTACTTCTTAAAAATTTAGTTGCCGAAACCGGTTTGGCTCAGTGGATAGAGCGTCGGCCTGCGGACTGAAGGGTCCCAGGTTCGATTCCGGTCAAGGGCATGTGCCTGGGTTGCGGGCCCATCCCCAGTGGGAGATGTGCAGGAGGCGGCTGATCGATGTTCCTCTCTCATCGATGTTTCTAACTCTCTATCCCTCTCCCTTCCTCTCTGTAAAAAATCAATAAAATATATATTTTTAAAAAATTTAGCTTAAATGTAGTGATCCATTACTGGGTGCAGAGAAATGTGCCAAGCACTTTTCATATAATAAGTCATTTGATCTTCTTAGCACTGGACGCAGAAGGAGCTGGTTTTATTTTCTCTTTTATATAGATTAGAAATGTTCACAAAGGGTGACGTGACTTGTCCCAGGCATTAATCTAACTAATGAGTTTTCAGAGCTGGGATTCTGTGTTTGGGACTCATCCCCTATCACTACAATGAACTGTTCTTGATGGAGTTGTAGTTAAGGAAATGCCAGCTCAGTCCACATAGAAGAAAAGCCATCTGACCCACTGGCCTGAAATCCAAGGGAGCTCATCTGAGA